AAAAAATATTTATGTTAATTTTAATCATAATACTTCTCATTCTTTGAAAATATGATATGTTACTGTTGAATGAATGCAAAGAATCATTATCAGATGTGCCTAAAAGGTAAAAAAAATAAATAAATAAAAAACATAAAAAATTATAAATAGCAATATTAAAATTTAATTTATAGTATATTACTTCTTTCTCTAGGAAAGTTTGATTCAAAATCAGATGATGAAGTTGAACTTTGATCATCAATTATGCCTAAAAAGAACAAATAAAAATTGAAATATAATTAATATTTATATTAATTTTAAATATAATACTTTTCTCTCTTTCAAAATATGATATGTTACTGTTAGATGAATACAAATAATCATTATCACATGTGCCTTAAAGGTAAAAAAAAAAAAACATAAAAAAATTATAAAATATTAAAATTGAATTAATAATATATTACTTTTTACACTACTAATACTTGATTCATCATCACTTATGCCTAAAAAGAACAAATAAAACATTTAAATATAATAAATATGTGTTAATTTTAATTTTATTACTTCTCTCTATTTCAAAATTTGATACATTAGTACTATGTGAATCCTGATCGACAAAATGTGGATCCTGATAGACAGAACGTGAATCCTGATCGGAAGAATGTGAATCCCGATCGACAGATTGTAAATCCCAATTAACAGAACGTGAATCCTGATCGGAAGAATGTGAATCCCGATTGAAAGAATTATTATCAGATGTGCCTAAAAGGTAAAAAAAAAAAAACATAAAAAAATATAAATAGCAATGTTAAAATTTCATTTTTAATATATTACTTCTTTTTCTAGTAATATTTGATTCACAATCAGGTAATGAAATTGGAGTTTGATCATCAATTGTGCCTAAAAAGAATAAATAAAAATTGAAATATAATAAATATTTGTGTTAATTTTAATTTTATTACTTCTCTTTTTCGAGATACGATGTTGAAGTATTAAATGAATCATAAATAGAGAATTAAAAACCATAAATATTAATTTTAAAATTGAAATTGATTAATCTTTTTTTAAACTTTTTAAAATCCAGAAAATTTGTAATATTTGTTTAAAGGATATAAATAGGAAATGTTTAATCATAAATAGAAATATAGATATTGAATTTAAAATATATTACTTGTTTTCTTATTGAAGTTTAATTCATAAATGGGTTCGAATCCCATGACTTCTCTTTCAGGAGATATGACTAAAAAGTTTTAAATCATAGATATAACAACAAACATCGGTATTAAATTTAAAATATAATACTTCTCACTCCATAAGCGTTTGGTTTCAAATTTTTTTTAAAACGTAGTCTTTGATCATCAGTTATTTCTAAAAAATACAATTATAAAATTAAAATTGTAAAGATTAATGTTAATTTAATTTGTAATACTATTATTTCTTTCAAGATTTGATTCCGAAGCATTTTGAGAAATCAGAGAATCATTATTTGGAGATATGCCAAAAAGTTATAGATAGTAAGTGTGACAATATTACACATTAATATTAATTCAAAATATATTACCTTTTTTTCCACCGTAGAGTGATCCAGAGTTGGATTGAGAATCAGCTTTAGATGATATACATAAAAAGTTCAAATAGAAAATTCAATATATTATAATTATTAATGGTAATATTAAACTTTAAATGTATTATTTTTATTTCGTATTTGATTCGATAAAGAAGCATATTGAGAATCTTTAAAATCATTATTAGATGATATAGGTAAAATAAATAAATAGAAAGTTTTAAAAACATAAATATTAAATGGAACATTAATTTTAAAATTAATAAATTAATATTAATTTTTGCTGTATGAATAAGTGATCCTGAAGTAGATGGAAAATTGAGAGAATCATTATCAAGAGATGTTTCTAATAAGTACCAATAATAAGTTTAAAACCATTAATGTTTAGTTACTATTTAATTAAAATATTTTACTTTTTCGTTTTTTTGTTGCAGATGTACATGGTGTAATATTAGATAATTCTAGATAAAACAAATACAATGTTTAATTATAATTCACATTATACACAAAATATATAGGTATTTATTTTAAACTAAATCACTTCTTTTTCTTCCTCTCTTTTTTCCTGACAGTATTGTGTTATTAGCGAGCTTCATTATTACACCTTTTTTCTTTCTTTTGGATGAATTTTGTTTTTCAAGCTTTTTTTGTCTATATTATAAATATAGAAGTTAGTTGAAAATAAATAGTACAATATTTTCATTATTTTCTTACAATTCCTTCTCTAAAAATTCTTTATGCGATATATTTACTTCGTTTATTACTAAAACATTTTGGTAATCAACCCATTCATCCCAATTTTTCTTCCAATTTATATAATGAATATAATATTCTCCGACACCATCTTTCCTCCAACGTCGATCTCTAATTATTGCTTCGTATAACAATTCTTGATAATAGCAAAAAACAATATCACCTATATCATATAAAAAAAGGTTAATATCAATATTTAAACAATGTTCTCTTAAATTAATATAAAGCATGATCTTTATCAATAACCTTAAGATTGATGAAAACTATAGTAATTTCAAAAACTAATCCTGAAAAAATTTAAATTTGATTTTCATGCATTTTGCAATAAATCAAAATATGAATATTCTATGCCCTTGTTAATGGCATTAGGATTAAATAACTATTGTCATAGTGTCACATTATTAACTAGATGGTGAGTAATGTTTGAAATTATGTATCTGAAAAGGATACAGCCATATAGCTAGGTTCATACATTTAAGGAAACCGAAGTAACCCACTATGTTTACACTTTTTAATATAGAAATGTTTTATATATACATTATTAAAATGTATATATAAATACATATTATTTTAAATATACTATTTTCAATAATTTGTGACAATATGTTACCTTTAAAATAATATTTAACAAAATGTTTGCAGTAAAATATAAAAAAAACTCGTTAATTATTTTAAAGAATGAAAAGTAGAAATCATTCAGGATCATAATGTATAAGATAATTGAATTATTTTTATAAATATACATATTGAATTTATGACTTGATAACTAATAATATTATAATAATTTATGTTTGAAATTCCAGTATCATGTGGCTCTTAAGATAACTGTGTTAGAAGCTATACATAAGATAGTTAATTATTGTAATACAGTAATTCCTAAGTGCATTTTAAATTGTTCTAAAGATTTACCTACTTTTAAAGCATTGTTTGATAAAGAAACAACTGAAACGCTTAAAAAAAAAAAAAAAAGCAATAGGAAAATTATGATGAAGACAATAATGAGGAGGCCAATGAAAAAACCATCACTTAAAAAGAAACAATTTTCATGGAGAAATTAAAACAAAATGTTAAAAAATATGATGATAATGATAATTTTCAGCTATTTTAAAAATTACAGAAGTATAATACTGTCATTATTTAA